AGAGAGAGAGAGAGAGAGCGCGTATCCCGGAACACTACGCCCCGGCGATGAGGCTATGATGTTTTTGAGGGAGACGCCAGATCGGATTGGTGCGAGTGGGAGCAATCTCGGTGGAAGGTCTCTGCTGGTAGCTTGGAAGGAGAAAATATGCACAAGGTGCTAGGTGCCCGCCTAGAATCGGTTTAAATTTAGAGAAGGCGCGGGCCTACGGGCAAGCAGCAGGTCTAATGGGAAGGAGCAGCCTGCCCTTTGGAAAGTGCCAGTTCTAGGAGGCTACATCGCTCGAAGTCCCAAAAGCACATTGTCGTTACTCACCACCAGCCGCAGCAAGATTGACCTCCTCCAGTCACTAACGTCGCTAGTCCCTTCCACAGTTATCTCGTACTATGTCGGAATGATGCCGTCGCAGAAGGGTATCATTTGCAGTACGTTCATACTGATGACCGGCGCCTGGGCACCTAGGGTAGATAGCTTGCCACGCCTTCGACGCCAGTGAGAGAAGAAAAGTGGATTTTTGCATGCACCAATGGTCGGTCATTGGAAGCGTGTCATATCATTACTGTGTCCAACTTTTTGCATATTATATATCGTTATTGCAGCTTCATGGTCTCGTTGAGGACATGTCGTTCTTCTAAAGATGATGGATCGCCTGAATACAGACAAGACATAATAACTCTTTAGACAAGGTCGTGGTCGCAGTGCTTTCCATGAGTGGCGCTAAAGTCCATCTTAACCCCGAGGCCGGCATCCCTCAGCCTGCGGACACGGCCGATAGTGGCGTTGGCGGGGCTCTTGGGGATAAGCTTGGTGCCGTCGACGGCCAGGACGGCCAAGGCGTGCGCTGCGGCGAGAGCGTTGGGGTAGATGAGCTCTGGGCGGGCGTTTGTGATGTTGTCGCATGCCTGGTGGTAGCACGGGTCCTCGTCGATGCCGGTGCCAGTGAAGAGGCCGCCGACGGGCTTGTTGATTATGTTCTTGAAGGGCACGTAGTCGGTGCCGCCCGTCAGGCCGGCCGGCTTGATCTCCTTGCCCTGGGCGATCAGCGACTCGGCGAGCAGCTTCTCGATCGCGGCGGATCCGGGAGCGCCGCCGGGCGCTGCGCGGTCGCCAGTGCCGTCAAAGACGTAGTGCACGCCGCGCGAGACCATGTCAAAGTTGACGTAGCACAGCAGGCTGTCGACCTCGGGCGACGCCGCCAGCTGCTCGACGTAGTAGTTTGAGCCCCAAAGCCCGTTCTCCTCGGCGGCCCACCATCCGAATCGGACCTTGTTGGTGGTCGAGAAGTGGGACAGACCCTTGGCGAGCTCCAGAATAAGCGAGGTGCCGGAGCCGTCGTCGTTGATGCCCGCTCCCGCCTGGACGCTGTCGAGATGGGCACCGAGCATGACGACGTTTGCCGGGTCACCCTTTTTGGTCTCGGCGATGACGTTCTGCGTTATGCGTTCCTCGATAAGCTGCTGGATGTTGCTAAAGGCCTCGACTTTCTCGCCGGCCTCGATGCGCGCCTTGATGGCCAGCGCGGGGGCCCGGTCGACGATGACGCCGGGCGCATACTCCGGGCTGGGCCTCGTCAGCGAGCCTCCGGTGAGCTGCGCCTCGTTGAGGTTGTAGATGAGGACCGACGCGGCCCCTGCGGCGGCGGCGGCCTTCAGCTTGCCGGCGAAAGTGGTCTGGTCCGGGCACAGGCCGCGCTCGACCAGGACGATCTTGCCGGCGGCGCCCCGCCCCTCGTAGTTGGCGGCGTCGCAGCCGGCGGCGCCCTCGGGGCCGAGCACGATCTCGCGCGTGATGCCGCCCTTCGGGGTGCTGGGAGTGTAGGTCAAAGCGACGGTGCGCCAGGACTCGCCCTCGATCACCGTCTCGGCGGCCGTGGTGAGGGAGAACATGGCGGGGAGGTCCTGCTTCCAGACATTGTAGCTCTTGAGCTTGGAGATCTCGTTGAAGATGAAATCAACCGAGGCGGCATAGCCAGGAAGGCCGAAAGCACGGTTGCCGCCGTTGGCGGTGGCGATGTCATGCAGCTTTTGGAGGTTTCCCATGAGGCTAGGATGTGTAGCGTTAGCACCGAGACTGGCTTTGAGGATAAATAACCGAGGATTAATAACCCACCCATCCGCGGTGATGAGTTCCTGAAGCTTCGCCGACTCGACGGGCGGCCTGCAGTCTTTGCTCTGAGCCAGTGCAGGCAGCACCGCCCACAGCGCCGACGCCTTGCTGATCCTCATGGTTGTGGTTGGGAGGGTGCACGGAGAGCTTTTCCTGGCGACGGGAGACCTAGGGGAGGGCGCTAGAACAAAAGCCATGGGCGGACACATGGAAAGCAAAAAAGATGCATCGCTACTTTATATGCGGCCAAACCCCGATCCCCCGCGCGGCGGCGGGCGAGAACATGCCATTGCCCGCTCCCGCGTCCCCTCCTCCACCGAGATGACTTGGCATGGCCGGATCGCTGGTTAATTTGGGCATATCGCTCGTCAGCGGCGAGATTGTGGTTGCTCCAGGTCCAAAGTGTGGGGATGGAGGCGATGGGCGAGGCGAGGAGCTTCCTTTTGCAGCTCTGGCGGCGACAAGCTGAGGAGGAATCAGGGGAGAAAGCTGACCGCCCATGTCGAATCGGGAAGGTCGCACAGTCAAAGCCTGGGCGCCGAGAAACGGCAAAAGTGGTGGTGGCGGCCGCTGTATTGGCGACATTAAACATTTGTCGAGCCTTTGCATTTTGCCTTGCCGACTGCGTTTTCTTGGAATGCTGTCCATGGCGTAAAAATCATAGAAAATGCCAGCCCTGGGGGGCTTGTCAGATATCGGATATGGTGCAGTTTCCATCGTCGCAATCGATCGGGCGATCGGGTCGCACGGCGGCATTACTTGATACGAAAGAAAACCAGGTAGGCTGGTGGGGGGGGGCTCCATATCCAGCGCAAATGCGTAGCAACGTTCGACGCTTTGGCTTCCAGAGCCTTGTTATAGAAAGCAGATATACGCATCAATTGCTGTTGATACCCAACACTCTTAGTCGAAAATCTGGAATCACGGATGTGGAAGAGTCGCCGTAGATTCCGACCAGAACCCTCTGCCCCACGCTAGGCATTGAGGCCACCAAGATGGAATCGAAGATACCAAAAACCCACTCAGTAACAGGGGGGGGGGGGAGGGGGGGTAA